AATAAATCATTTCAAAGTTCATATCATAAATAAATTTCTTAATTTATCCTTGATTTGGGTCTGTACTCAGGTTCCCAATCAAGACCACACAAATAGTCAATAAATTGGATTTATCTCTATGAGATTTATCCTGATTATGATATGGGATATCGAAACATATTTTTATCGGCCCAAAGCCCATAACAATTTATTTTTAACTTAAACAAATTTGATTTATTTTAATAATTATCTATTAATAATTCTAAGGTATGTTTTGGGACGTTACACTGTTATTGATTTGTGATTTTGAATTAAATCAACCCTAATCACCTCCCAACAACTAATTAACATATTCCACTATAAATACAAGCCTAATCCTTCATATTTCTTCAAGAAACGAAGCTCTAAACATCCTCTCTTTTTATTCCAAGTGTGTTCATCCTTCTATTAATTATTTTCAATATTTTGGCTATTTTAAGAGCCTTAAATTCCTGATTTTTATACACACACTTTGAGCTTATGTTTCTAGTTATATACTCTCATATTCATAAGTTTGAATTGTATTTTTGAGAGAGTATACTTTCTTTCTACACCGGCTAAGTTTTGTTCTTCATTTTTTTATTCTAGCCGTTGTGTAGAATCCTCTTTTGTGTTCTTCAAACAAACCTTCTTACGGTCGAGAATAGCCATTAAATTCTCACGTTGTAACGGTCAAGGATAGCCGTATAAATCCTTGGGTAAAGGTTCAAGGATAGCCTTTGAAATCCTTGGGGGAACGGTAGAAGATAGCCGTTAAATCTTCGTTGTAAACGGTTCGAGATAGCCGTGGTGAAATCTCAGAGTGAATCCTATTGGCAAGGGTTGTTTTCCAAACTAGTGCGGTGCTTTGACGGAGTTCAAGAGACCGGGACTTAATGGATTCGGAAATCCTTGAGGAGGAGCCTCGAGGTACTGGAGTAGGGAGTTCCCGAACCAGTAGAGAACCGGTGTGCATTTTATTTACGCTTTTATTTCTGCGTTTTATATATTGCTTCCGCATTTGCCAACACCGTTTTTATTAAACTCCGAAAAGATTTTAAAACGCCTTATTCACCACCCCCCCCCTCTAAGGCGTGGGCACAACGACTAAACCGACTAACATAATATACTGCATGTGACATAAAAGATTGGAAAGCGTGATATATACACATGGTCAGATTTCACAGGGTGAATGCATTACAACGGATGACTAATGCATAATAATCGGAATAGGATGATTTTATATATATGAGAGAAAAGACATTGGTAAGTGTATATATAAGAAAGAGTTTTGCAACAAGAGGAAATACTTTAATGACATATTTCATTCCAGTTTATTCATTGGGCAATTTCTACTATCATGGTATCCCATCTCACGGCAAGTTTTACACATTCGCTTGTTCTTATTTCCTTGCTCTGTGCTAATCTCCAATGCGCTTTTGATTCTCTTCCCACCACCCTTGTTGTGTACTTGTTGGGGAGGGAGTATAGTAATGTTTGATGGGGCAGTTGTGCCATAGAATGACTCAAAGATCTGGTCTTATGGTGGAATAAGATTAGACTGAATTGCATTTTGGAGGATGTTCTTTTGTTGTCGAATGACCTTTGAAAACCCATCCAATAAGTCTGGTTTTTGTTCGGCAGCTGCAACACAGTAGTGAATATCCGACCACAAACGGCTCAATGCTGTTTTTTTTCCTTCAACAGCTGTAACGATGTCAAAATCCATGTCGGGGATATTGATCATTGGCTTCAACAAATTTGTTTTACACCATCTGGGGGTGATATAGAAATATAGAATCTTACGAATGTTCTCGTCCTTGAAAACTAGAAATATGTGTCTGCATAATAACCCAATGCGCATGTAGTGCTTACAGCTGCATATTGCAGTGCCTTGAATGCGTGAATATTTGACGGTGAATGACATACCCCTGTTGTCCTTGATTAAGTATTGGTTGTGTTGCTCGTCAAGTTCTTCAACTTGAAGTACTCGGCAAGAAAAACATGCTGCACATATCTCAGCTTGAACATCGTAGAAAATAGTCAATATGTAAACCGAGGCTGCATGCTTCTCAATATCCAATGGAGTTTTAAACTCTGGGTAGCATGCTTCATCATTTGCATTGTAGTCTGCGCTTTTGTGACGTTGAGAGTCCATGGCACTTTCAAACTACATAGGAAGATCCACGAGGATAAAACTTTGCCCTGTAAAATCATCAAAAAAACTATTCTCACTTTCGGAACGAGAAGTTGTACATAGTAAACCTCCCATGAAAAAATCTCTAAAATACGTCGGAATCCAAGTGGTTTGTATTTGAAAAATTTTGGTAAACCACTTGTGAGATTCCAAATTATATTCGGCTATGAGATCGTGCCACTGCGTTTCAAAATTAGCTGGCTGTAGATAGTGACTCTAGACGATGGCGTTGAGTTTGGACAAAAAATCTGCATCCTTAAGCAATTTGTCATCCACTTTCTTAATGACCTTTTTCATGATGTGCCACATACAATAACGGCGAATGGTTCCTGGGAATCCCTGTTTCACAGCACCTCGAAGTGAAGGGTCTTGGTCAGTAATGATACATTTAGGGGCAGTACCCATTGCATTTAGGAAACACCGGAAAAGCCAAGAATAAGATTCATCATCTTCTTTGTTGATCAATCCAGCCGCAAATGTAATACATTTTTTATGATTATCGACACCTGTGAATGGTGCAAATATCATATTGTACCTGTTCGGAAAGAGGTAAAAAATTCATGAATTAATGAAGGCATGAAATACTTCTGACGAAAAATTTGCTAAGCTAACATGAATATACAGGAAACCCATGAGAAGCGCAATGCACGTGCAAAGTACCTGTTGGTCTCATAAGTCGCATCAAACGAGACTACATCACCAAACATGGCATAGTTTTTCCTAGCAACAGGATCACACCAGAATAGCCTTGTCAGTTGGTTGTTATCATCAACGTCGTATTCAAAGTGAAATGCAGAACAAGTTTCGTGTTTCTAAACAGCTTGTCGATAACCATTTGTGCATCCCCGCCTGCAATGTATGCTTTGAGGTCTCATCTAAAATTCTTAAAGTCAATAGCCGTGGCTCTAATATTAACGTAGCCACCTACAGACTCTTTGAAAAGGCGGTAGGACTTAATTATTCCAATATTAGCCTTAGCACAATTCAACATGAATTTCTTGTGACCAATATCTAGATTTCTATTGAGTTTTAAGAAAGGCCAAGAAGGTGAGGAAAGCATGGAATGGTTGTGGCATTCTTTGAAAGAAGTGATAGAATAACCGGCCGACCCAGACAATCTAAATATTACACATGCCTTGCATCCAACGCGGTTCGATATGCATCTTCTGTTTTTTGGGATTTGAGTCTACAGCATCTTGAATTGGAGACTTAGAAGTGACGGAAACATTCTTTTGACCCTCTCTATTACAGACAACATACTGCCATATAATCACACCGTCTGGAGACTTCGTTGTCGTGCTTTTTCGTGAATCAAAGCCAACGAGAGCTGCATATTCTCTGTAAAATGCAATTCCATCCTCTAAATTTCTAAAAAAACATACCAACACTTGGTTTGGCGCTTTCTGGGCAGGGAGGAGCGAATCCACTATCGCATCCAGCTTGACTGATATGCTCCGTCGAAGAATCCGAGTCTGTGTGTAGTTGTAGTGACGGATTACAACACAAATTGATGTGTAAAAAGCGAGATAATACATTAAATGAAATTGAATTATTATGAGCCCAAGACAGTAAAAGAGGACAAACCTGAATATGGATCCATGAACACGGAATCGATGTTGTGTGATATTGAACCGCGATGATTTCTGCGTTTGGGTGCGACGGGATTAGACGGAGAAGGTTGTTGTATTTCGCCATCTTCAACAAGGAAGGAGAAAATGTGCGCTAATTCTCCGGGCGAGAGAGACGGGAAAATGGAAACGAAAATAGGTAAATACGGGTTGGATTGCTGAAAGTACAATCTAGCCCTTATGCGTTACATTTGATGAGAATCAAGATGGAAGAACCAGATTCATTATCATTTCTCTCCTAAGTTCTCATTCTCACCAGAACATATATATATATATATATATATATATATATATATATATATATATACACACACACACACACATATATATATATATATATATATATATATATATATATCATATGACGGATGGCTAGGTTTCTTGAGCGAGAAAGCCCCGGCGGATTTATCTATCACCGCCACGCCAATGGGGATTATCACCGGCCAGATTTCAGGCATCTTAGCGATTCTTACACAGATTATTCTCTCCGGCATCATGGTTCTTCTTCCAAAGCTTACCAGAGAACTCGATTCGTCACACATCACAAAAACCAGAAGGCATGTCACCACATCAGGAGGTCGATGCTTCGTCGTCGTGACACTAGATGGCCGTTAAAATCTCCAAAAGTTAAACACTTGAAGAACTCATATGTGCTTGCAGACCAGAGAGTCGTTTTACAGGGTCAGAGCGAGAATGCTTGTTCATGGCTTAGCAAGAACATCCGTTTTAGATTCAGAATTCTAAAGAAGGTATTTGAGCTTTTTTACTCAGACTACAATAAGACTTTTAGCATTACAGATAGGGGGAGAAGATACTTTCATATATGGTTTGATCTAGATTCAATCAATTGGGTTCTAGAAACTCTTCCTAGATTGATTTCGGGTTCGGCTTGGGCTTGTGTTAAACTGGATGTTCAAAGATCACTAGAAGCTGCAATTGATTCAAATCATAGGGGGGATTTTATAAGGATTTTGGAATCTAGAAATGAAGGAAATAGATTCATTTATATCCCCTGGGGAATTTATAATGAGGGACCTCAATTGTTTTTTAAGGCTCTTTCGACCTTTGTTGAAAGAGCACTGCAATGTGGCAAGGTTAGGGGCAATGAGATTGAAACAACAAAACCAAGTGATATCCTTGAAGTTGCGGTTTTGTGTTGATGTATCTTTGTGGTTTTGTGTTTTGTGCTTGTAACCATGTTGTGGTTGGCACGAAAACTGGATGTACCTTTCTGATTTGGGTAATAATAATTTACATGTTACCCGTTGAAGTTGCAGTTGTAGGGGAGACTGTGTTTGATGCTCATAAAAGTCCCTCTCTTGATTCTAAGGACAGGATTGAACATGATGCAAAGCAATTGCATTCAAGCTTGCTTCTTAACACATACAATAGAGAGGCACCTTCTGAAATATCTTCTGATCCCCATTTTAGCATCCTGCCCAAACCAGATCTTTCACAAGAGGAGTTAGAATCAAATCAAATTGGCGATCTTAATCTTGATAAGCAGGAGCTTAGTCTTGATTTGGGTTCTTCTTTGGTTGAATCTGATAAGCTGGAGGGGAACACTCCTATAGAGGAGGCTTCCCAACGATATAATATTCATTACCCCGCACTTCCAAGAGTGATTTTATCCCCATTTGCTGCTGAATTCATCCCCTTAATGCCCAACCCTTATGCTGCTCTTTTTGATCATGTGGAAGGCCTCGGGAATAATAGCTCACTCAAGGATGTTGAATTTGACAAGATTGATGATGGGAACAAGGTACTCTGCAACAATGCATTAGAAGAAATTAGGGATGAAAGAGATGGGCCAATTTTGTACACGCACTCGGAAGGAGAAGAAAAGGCCTTCAATGAAAACATTCTTAAACCTCTACAAATAGATTACTCCAGGATGTTCAAAACACCTTTTGACTTGGGAAGAGATTGCAAGGGAAGGCGCATCTACTCTCCTTCGCAAATAGTTACCAGAAGTAGGGCTAAGCTTTTAAAAGAAGGAAGAAAGAAAACCCCTATTGGGTGGGAGGAAGGGCCAGACTCTTCAGAGGTTCCCTATGCAGATGACATTAGAAATTTATTCAAGCTTTGTTGTCCAAATAAGCCAGAAAAACCTCTTCAGAAGCAATCTTCGAATAAACCTTTAACCAAAAGACAAAAGAAAAAGTCTAAGAAGAGACTTAAGAAGAAGAAGGGTTCAGGGCTTGAAATGGTAGAATCAGATTAATCAAGCTGGTCTCTTATAGTTTCTTGGGGTCATATACTACTTTTGGAATCTGTGTTATAGCCGGGTTACTTTACCCATATGGTGCTTTTCTCTTCACTGATCCTAAGCCTGTACATAATTTGAGGTTATTCTGCCCCTGCTTGCCATAAGGAACTTATTTTGGGAGATGGTTGGTATTAGGTTTGTGTACATATGTCATCTTGCAGTAGTCCAGAGGGACTCAGCTGTTATCTGGCCTACTTCACTGCAATTTTTCAAAGGTATCCACTCGTAGCATCCTTACAGCCATGATTCATTTGTTCCCTTAGTTTTAATAATATTCCAGGTTTTGAGATCGATCAGCAGTTTACTGTTTGGGAACTTCAAGTTGAGATCTTTACCTGTTGGACACTAGCTAGAAAGGGTTGCAGATATTCGTTGGGGTATTGTACTCTTTGGTTGTTTTGTTTTAGTGCTTAGTTTTGATGCCTTGGCCATTTTGTTGGGGATGGGCCACCCCCACCTTTTGTATTTCTCTTTTCCCTAATAAAATTTCCTTATATATATATATATATATATATATATATATATATATATATATATATATATATATATCAACAACTTGTAATTAATTAAAAAAATAATTTTTTAAATTAAGTAATGTGTTATATATTAGACATTTGATGTAATATTTATAATGAGCATATAAAGAACGATTAATATATAAAATTTGTTTTGTTTGATAGTGTTACTACGTACGTGCTATTATTTATTTGAATATCATTATCAATGTCTGCATGTGTGATATAAAGCGAATAATACGGAGTATTAAAAATGTACTCATTTTGTTAAATATACTTAGAATTCCATCTTTTTCTTCATAGGAATACTTTTAAAGTGGCGGATCCGGGAGTTTATATGCAAATAGTAGGGAGGGGTTCAGGTGCAGCACACCCAATTTTTCTTTTAAAAAAAGCAATTTAAGATAACGAAAAAGAAATGAATTTTATATAAAATAAGTATGCAAATAAGTAAAACAAAATATTTTAAATAGTAGAAAAACATAGTATAAAATATGTAATAACTTCACACACACACACACACAATGTATTAAATACTTTATCATTGTATTTTATTTAAATAGAAATTTTATCTTTTAGACTACTTTTTTTATTTTTTACTTGGGGCACACTATATTTTTCATGGGGCAGTCTTTTCATTTACTTAAATTCTTAATTTTTTATACTATATATTTAAAGAAAAAAACAATTGACTGTGTTCGGTGCCCCCCATAACTAAGACCTAGATCCACATGTGTATGTATATCTGTAAATAATTTGAAATAATGTTTTTATTATGAATTTTAATTTTGTTAATATTTTTATTTTATTAAAGTTAGAGTAATAAAAGTATTATTATTCATTCGAGTCGGACCAACCCTTGGTCTTGAGTATAAAACCCGAGTCAGGCCTTAAAGTACATGAGCTATAATTTATAAAGCCCGAGCCTGGTCCGTATCGGAATATGTCAAGCCCGAGCCTACTATTTGACTTAGATGCTTTTGCAGGTGGAACGAATACTCGAGTCAATGATCAGGTCTCATGCCTGCTCTACACAAATTGGAATTGCTGGATGGGTTTTTACATATTCCGTCCTTGAGTATTTGTCTACTTTTATTTTTTCGATCAAAATTGGCAAATTTAATCTCAAATTAAATAAATGTTTTGTTAGATATTAATATTAAAATAATATTTTAGATTTATTTTATAAAGTATTTTATCGAACCAATATAACATATATATTTTATTAAATTATAGATCAAAGATTTAAAATGATTAAATATAAAAAGTCAAGACTAAACAAATATAGAGGTAATACTAAAATTGGATACATCGGAAGGGAGACTATGAGTCTCTTCTCTTCAAAGTCCTATTCCGGGGAAAAAAAACATGAAAGTCTTATTTTGGTACTTTTCTCTTTGTTTTAGTCCTATTTAGGATGATTTCTACTCCCTCCGTCCCACTGTCTTTGTCCACTTACCTTTTGGCACACCATCCAATGCACTTCTTTAATCCATTTTATCTTGTAATTTGTATATTAAAAAATTATAGAAATTATATATTAATAATCTATATGTTAAGACAAATCAAACAAGATCACACATGACTATATTTAGGCTTACACATTGAGAGAATTTGATGAGTCAAAGTGCTTAGATGAACAGTTCCAAAAGTCAAAAGTGGACAAAGACAGTGGAACGAAGGTAGTATAGTCTTATATCTAAACTAATTCTAATTCGATCACAACTACTTAGATTAGGTGAAGAGAACAAATGTTAATTTCAATGTCATAGTACACATTGAGGATCAAGATATAGATTGTATGCATGACAGATCGACAGCCCACACATTAAAACCCAGCATCATTATAACGGCATTATGCAATAGTACGATGCACCAATCTCACCAAATTGAGCCGATTCACGGTTACCCCCTATCCACACCTATATAGCGCATAAATGTAATTTCTCAACCCGCTGCTATGTGTTCTCCACTCGTGCTGAATAGTTGTTCAATAATACTCTCGCATAGTGGCACGATGCTTTTTCGGTTTACCATAATTGACTAGAAATCATTTTAATTTAGTTTAGAGTGAATTTTCAAAACAATCTTGTTTCGTATTTTCTCAAATTGGTTCTTTAATATTTAATAATTACCAATGTGGTCTATTGTAATTGAGACATTTTTATCTAAATTGTCATTTGTAAAATATTTATTAAATGATAGTTAAATAAAGGGTATTTTGATATTTCCCATCATCTAAACTATAAATTAGTCATTAAACTGGTTCTTTCAAATAAAGTGGGTGACTGCTAGAGGAACGGACTCATCCCAAGTAGGCTCATGGATTCCATCTCAGTAAAACATGTACTTATTAATTATCATTTATGAAAAATACTTAATTATAAAAAAAAATTTCGAGAATATAATTTAAGTCTAGATGATTGGGAATAGTAATGTACTTTTTATCTGACTGGCATTTAATAGATAATTTTGGAAGAAAATCATTTAGCTAATAAATGTAAGTTATAATGCATCACGCAGATAATTATTGCTTAATGACGACTAATTTGGAAAAATACCTTATTAGAAAGACTCGTTTTAAAAATTCACTCTTTAATTTTATACTCTTTAATTCTATTATATTAGACTCAGGGTGAATTTAAAAAATAAGTAGTGAAATGACTGTATCTTTTATCAAATCCTTAAAAAAATTTAAAGAAAAAAGTAAATAAAACTTGACCATGTGAATAGTAAAATAGATAATTAAATTTGGGGCATTGAGAGTATTCTTTAGGAAAAAGACTAAGGTAGAAGTAAAGCATAAAAATATTAAAAATTAAGAACTTTGTGCTTTTATTCTCAAAATAAGAATTAAATTGCATACACAATGCCAATCATGCTAATGTACAATGCCAAGAGATATTATGAAATGTGCACGTATAATGTTATATATTATCACAATGCAAACTTCTATTTTAGAAACAAAAATATGGAGTTCCAATTTTGATAGTTTTTTTTGTTTTACTCATATTTATGGCGATATCTTTATCTTTTATATCTATATACCAATTCCGTCCCCTTATAAATTTTTATTTCAAATAATGTACAGAATCTTATCGTTTTCTTAAATAATTTTATTTACAAATTGATAAAAAAACCTTTATTTATTTATTTATTTAAAAAAGTAGATGATTGTTAAGTACTAGTAATACATTAGTTAAGCAAAATACTTATTTTGCTCATATGTAAGTACATGGTGGACTTTAGGTCAGTAATATTACTACATCAAAAGCTAATCAAAACAAGATGTGACAATGAGAACTCTATTTTTATCAAATGACCAACAAAGGCACACAAAAAAATAAAAAGTACGGAGAAGTTATCGAGAGGTCTTAATAGTAACTAGAAAATTTATTTGGGAATGGACGGAGTATCTAGTATCAAAATAAGCAATACAAACATTATGGTGTATGTAATTTTGTACTCTCTCCGTTCTCAAAAATACTTCCTCTTTTATTTTTTTTACTTCCTACAAAACACTTTCACTTTATGTAAAAAAAACCACTTTTACCCTTAATATTTCATACCTTACTATCACAACATATTTTTTTTCTAATAATCTATCAATCACATTTTACTTTTACCCATCACATCAAAAACAAAATTAGAAGTCAACTATAATTTAACATTTCCTTAATTTTACACCTGGTCAAAATAGGAACTTTTTTTAGAGCGGAGAAGTAGTTTTGTATTCTACTCGCAATTCATTGTACTATTATTCATATAAATATATTTAGGCTCCGTTCCGTTCAACTTTTTTTTTCTGATCAAAACTGATTTTAATAAGTTCTGATCTGATCTGATCTAGTCTGATCTGATCTGATTGGATCTGATCTGATCTGATTTGATCTGATCTGATTGGATCTGATGTGGCCTGATCTAATCTGATTAGATCTAATTATTTATTATTTGATTTAAAATTCAAATCAATATCTTTGATTTGACTTTATAATAATGTTTGAAAATTGTAATGATAATTCAAATTATAATATAATCAATATTTTTTATTTAATAATTATTTTTTAATAAAATAAAATTAGTTAATACATATATTAGAATAATCATTCATATTATAATGTAATAATATTTTTTATTTTACGATTATTTTTTTGTGAAATTAGAATATTAATTTAATATTTTAAGAATTACTTCATATAATCATATATACATTAGAATAAATATTTAATTTATATATACATTAAAAAGTAATTAAATTTAGATAATCAATATATAGGAGAGATAGTATTTTTATTAAAATATTTCATCCTTATAAAAGATCAAAATTTTAAAAACTCAAATTACAAGTAGCAATAGAAATATATTTTAAAAGTACAATTAGATTGACATTGTCAATGTATTTTAAAACTAATTTTTCCGACGTCTAATAATTAAGGATTAGTTTCTCATTTTTCTATTTAACCTATTTCTAAAGTTTATTCTTTTTCATTTTTAAGAATAATAATAATAATAATAATAATAATAATATAATAATAATAATAATTCTTGATGGGATCTGATTTTAATAAGTTTTTATATCTGATTGGATCTGATCTGATTGGATCTGATCTGATTTGATCTGATCTGATTGGATCTGATCTTATCTGATCTTATCTGATATGATCTGGTCTGATCTGATCTGATTTTAATAAGAATAAGAAAAAATAAGTTGAACGGAACGGGGCCTTAGTCATACATCACAAACCAAAATTTTCTTTATATTTTGGGAGGGAATTAGTAATATTTTCAATCTTCTTTTAAAACTCGGTTTGCAATGATTGTTTTAATACTACTAGTATTAAATTTATTAGTATTAAATTTATGAGGATGTGTTTCATCCAATATCATTCCATTCTAACTTTATAAAGTTTAAAAAAAGTGTTCCAAAATAAAAACCATGTAATTGAAATATGATTAAAAAAAGAAAAAATTGTGAAACACACATTCTTTCTTTTATTAAAAAATAAAAAGGTTGAATATTTATTTTAGAACGAGTTAAAATCAGTGTTTTGGAAATCAAACTGGACCAGCGATCGAACTGGTTGGACTGTGCCCCGGACACGAACTCAGTCCAGTTTGATGGATAAACACGTTATTCAATTGAACCGTCCAAATCGGAAGACTCGAAGAATTGGGTGACTTGAGTCGATGCAGCCGGTTCACGGTTTTGGACCAAAGCCTACTTTCTACTCCTTCCGTTCTTTAAAACCATTCCCATTTTGACTTTGGGCCAATATAAGGAAAGTGTAATTTTGGTTGACTTTCCAATTTTGCCATCGATGTGATGAGTAAAAGTAAGATGTGATAGTTTGATTATCAGTGAAAAAATATGATGTGATAGGTATGGTAGGGAAAAAGTAGGGTAGAAGTGGCTTTTTAATAAAAAGTGGAAGTGTCTTAGGAAATTGGAAAAAAAATGAAATGGAAAAGATTTTATGAAACAGAGGGATTATTATATTTTATCATTTAAACCTTTCAAAAAAAATATTTTATCATTTAAAAATTCAAATCGCAAGTGGGAATCAAATTAAGTCAATCACTCATACAACGCCGCAAACCATTTGCCAAGTGAGCTATCACTAATCAAACTAACTATAAACTATTGGTAGTAGTGTTTTTTTTTGGGAAATGTTTGGTTCACAAATACAATGGTCACAAATTTCACAAATTTACTATTTGGGTCGGTTTGGTATATGGAATTGACGGAATTAGAATTAAATTGGAATTGTAATTTCATGTGATTCAATTCCATAGAATTGAATTCTGCTAATTCCAATTAATTTTTTACACTATCAATTCCAAATCCATATATTTTTATGCTACCAAATATCAGAATTGGAATTAAAGTCCTCAATTCCAATTTCATGGTTTGAATTCCATGTACCAAACAGGGCCTTTGTGAACTTCCATGGAAAAAATTAAATGATCTAAATTAATTTTAAAATAAAATTTTAAATCATAAATAGTAAGTTTGTGAAGTTTGTGAGTATTTTGTTTGTAAACCTAGCATTGCTCTTTTTTTTTGCATGTGTGCATTTTTTTAATTGTATCTTATTCACTTTATGAACTTCTAAAATAGTTCCAAAAATTAAGAACTACTAGTATTTAAATTTTATTCAAAAATAAATATAATCCATATATTTAATACCTGAAGAATTATTGTTATTTTTAACAATCAACTAAGTTTAGTAATTATAATTCAATATGCTACTCGGGGTACAATTTTTACTATTTCAATCATTTTATTCAATTAAATATAAAGTTTAAAATGCCAATGGTATATAAGAATACATTATCTAGTCTTTATTTAATTTTTGAACATATGAGTATCACCTTATTATTTAGGTATTTATTAAACATTCATTCTTGATTTTTATTAATAATGAAAACAATAGAGTAAAAAACTAAAGGTGTGAAATAGTATATGCACTACGATACTAAAAACTAGATAGAAAAATAAAAAAATAAATAAAAATATTTATATTGATCAAAAAAATATTATTACTATAAACATCATTTGATGGGGTCGTTGACCCCCAATTTGGCCATTTTGATGGATTAATTCAATTCTTAAAACAGTTTTGGAATAAAAAAAGTAACAAAAGTTTCCCACTTTCCCTACTTATACCCCATCTCGTGAACCTCTACACTCCCGCAAAATCCCAATTACATGCGATTTGTGTTGTTGCAGTGTTACTGTAAAAATAAACAAAGTCGATCTAAACGTACGAACAGTTAATTAGAATAGAATCTTCAAGGAGCATCATGAAATCCAGCGCATTTTCAATTCACGTATTTCATCTCCTCCTCGCCGGCGCACTCTTCATCAGCCCCTCGGCTGCCGATGTCCCCCTATCCCCCGCCCCATCTCCGTGCCTGGCCGCCACAGAAAACAATGACACGGCCGAGTTCATCCGTACGAGCTGCCAAATTACGCTTTACCCGGAAGTATGCTACCACTCGCTGCTCGCGTACGCCGGGAGCGTGCAACGGGACCATGCCAAGCTGGCTCTGGCGGCCATCGGCGTGAGCTTGAGAGGAGCCACGCAGGCGGCGGCTCACGTGAAGAGCCTCTCAGCCTCGAGCCAGGCGGCCACTAGCGCCTCCGCCGCAACCGCAGCCCTCCGGGACTGTTTCTCCGCGTTGAGGGACACGGTGGACCAAATGCGGGATTCGCTGGCCCAGATGAGGCAGCTCGGCGGTGACACGGAGGCGCTGCGGTTCCAGATTAGCAACGTGCAGACGTGGATGAGCGCCGCCGAGACGAACGAGGACACGTGTTTGGACGGATTTGAGAGCGTGGCGGATGGGCCCCTCAAAACAGACGTCTGCGACCGCGTTGGGAAAGTCGTGTGGCTCACCAGCAACGCATTGGCTTTGGTGAATTACTTTGCTAATTAACCACCCGTGATCCCCCGTCAAAAAAAAAAAGGACCATGCTACATTTACACCAAAATTTGTATCCCATTTGTACACCGCAGTTATGCACAAACATTTTGATGGTTTACACCGACACAAGTGTTGGTGCGTTAACAAAAATTTACACAGACACAAAGTGTTGGTGCGTTAATAAAAATTAATTTTATACCGACATAAAATGTCGGTGCAAACCTGCGGTGTACAAATGGGGTACACAAATTTGGAGTACAAGTAGCTTTATCCAAAAAAAAAACAAAAAGAAAACCCACCCGTGATAATAGATTGAGTTTTTATCGTGGAATGTGCCTCGTCTCATTTTGAGACGTACTCCCGTACTGATTACTTTTGTGTTACTGAACAGGAAAAGTTAAGGGTATACCAAAAGTATACCTCAAATTATTCTCATATTAGAGAGAGAGCCGTTGAGGTGGGGGGGGGGGAAGAAGGGAGTGGGGGAATTAGTACTATAAATTCTCATATTAATTTCTCAAAAAATCACTCAATTTCTCAATTCATCTCTCATTTTCTCATTCTCTCAATTTATCAATCTCTCAATCTTATTATCTCTTTTTAATTTTTATACATTTAATATTCATATAATAATATAAAAATTTTATACATTAAAATTTTGAAATTTTCAAAATTTTAATATATAAAATTTTGAAATTTTTTCAAAATTTTCGAAATATAAAATATTATTATTTTTTAAATATATTCTTTACTCTTTAAATAATTTAAATATATTCTTTATTTTTTGAAATTTTCGAAATTTTAATATATAAAATTTTGAATTTTTTTAAATTATCGAAATTTAATATATTATTTTTCTATATCAAAAAATATATATTCTTTAAAATGTCGAGAGAGTCCAGTAGAAGGTCCGTGGATATGGGCGCCGTGAATCGAAGTTTGAGGAGAGGCAAAGCTAAAGCCACCTCCGACAGTTCGACCTCACGCGGTTCTCGAGGAAGACACTCCGTCTCTTCGTTTCCTATTGTCCCATATCATTTAATCGGGGACGCTATGACGGATGAAGAATTCAACCAGATTTATTCTGGTAGAGGAGACGCGAATCTCCCCACTCTTGATAGTCTATTCGAGGATGTTGATGAAGCAGGACTGGATAATCTTGACGGGGACGATGAGCCTACACCGCAAAGCAACGACGTTGACGTGGAGGCAGGTGAGCCCGAGACCTCTCAAGGTCCGGACAAAGGTAAAAAAATATAAATCAGATTTATTTGTTTATCATTTTGACAAAGATACAAAAGATGGCATAGTTTATGAAACTTGTAAACATTGCGTGACCGTCATAAAAATGGGAGTTTCCGGCGGTTATGGCGGTCCGGAAAAACACCTAAGGTCGAGGCATCCCGTGGAGTACGCCAAATACGAGGCCAAAAAAAAGGGACGACAAGAAGTGCAAACCCAAATTTCTCGGTTTGCTAACAGAGGTAAGGGCGGCCTTTTTGCTTATAGCGACGAGCAAAATAAGCAAAAAATGGCCGAAATGATTTGTGAAGAAAATTTGCCATACATGTTTTGTGAAAAACTTGGTTTTATTGATTATTGTCAACATGCATTAAACCTTCAAGCACGAGGTTTTTTCAAGAAAAACAATTAAACGAGAAATTATTCGCCAGTATAAAATGGTTTTTTAATTAAACCGTTTAAAAAAAGAGTTAAAATTAAGAGCACAACGATAAACAAGACTATAAACCCCACTTTGAATAGTATTAAACAGAATATACCCACAATGAACAGTAACCTATCTATCACTAACCTAATACGTATTTGCACAACTTGCATTTCGTGATTTCAATGATCAGCATACTGCTGAAAATATTTTTCTATTGCTTCAGAGTATTCTGCAGGAATATAACTTATCTGAAAAAGTTTTTCATTTGGTTTTGATAATGCTACTAATAATACTGCTGTTATTCCTAGACTTAGAGAAATTTGCCCACCGTCTATGACTATGGGTAGATTTCTGCATCAACGGTGTGCCTATCATGTTTTAAATTTATGTGTTCAACAGGGACTACAAGCTATGGGCGGAGTTTTGACAAATATTAAAGAAGGAATTAAAAAAATTTGGGGGGCTCGTCTTATTTCGAGGTCCTGGAAGATGTTCTGTAAGTCTAAGGGTAAAAAAGAAATAAGTTTTGCCAGAGATATCAACATTAGATGGAATAGTACTTACAAATTGATTGCACAGATCCTAAGATATAAAGAGAAACTTGCTGAATTTTTTAGGGATGAACATCGTATAATTATTAATCCTTTTGAATTTGTTATTGTTGAAAAATTGAATGTCGTATTAGAAGTTTTTAATAACGCAACTCTTACTTTTTACCATGTTTACCAACCAACTACAAATACATTTTTTAAAGAGTGCATTACAATCGCAACATGTTTTCGTGAAAGTATGGCTGATCTAGATTTGTACCCTTATGTCTCTCTTATGAGAGATAAATGGTGTACTTATTATTTGTACATTCCTGATATTTATAAAATAGGTATTATTTGTGATCCACGATTTAAGATTGAAAATTTTAAAATTCTAATTCAGTATTACTACAGTTGTTTTTTAGATAAAAGTACTTATTACTACAGCTATTTAGTAGAATAGAAAAATGAAAGAGATAATGTTATAACTCTTTTTGAGGATTTGTTTAAGGAATATCAAGGGTTATACGGTACTGTACAAGAAGAAACAACACCACCTCCACCCCCAAAATCAAAAAAAGGTTTTGCCGGCATAGTCGGTGGCCTTCTTGCAAAGAAAGGGAAGCGTGCCCAGTCTTCGACGAGTTCAAGTGGTACAACAGTAAGCTCGCACAATGAACTTGCTATGTACCAGGGTGTGCCATGCGATTACGATGACGACGACGTCGATTTTGACGTGCTCAGATGGTGGAAGCGGAACGAACACATGTTCCCATGTCTCGGCATGCTAGCAAGACAAGTGTTGTCCGTCCCGGTATCAACCATAGCAGTTCAACGAGAATTCAGTGCTTGCAGAAACATTCTAACCGACTACCGAAGTTGTCTTAACGCTGAATCTCTTGAAACACTGGTTTGCAACCAAGATTGGCTCTTGGCAAGACGTCGGGCTCAAGAGTCATCGTACCAACTCGAATCGGAGCATTATATGAATGCAACCACAGATGGAAGTCCGAGTTATGAAGAATAAGTTATAATTTTTTTTTATGTTAATGTAAATATGTAATTAGTTTTTTTAGGTGAGCGATATATAAGCTCCTTCAAGGGTTTCTTTACGGTTCTTTACCTCGTCGCTTTTTTTGAACCGTCAGGATATTAAATGTGGTTGTTCTTCAGTATCACATAATGAGTAAAAGTTATAAATTTATTGTTGATGTAAAAATCTAAAAAATAAAGTAAGAAAGGAATTTGTTAACGTTTAAATGTTAAAATATGAAATTTTTAAATTTTTTTTCGTTTTTTTTTTATCCCCCCCCCCCCGGCTTCGGCCGGCCAGGCCATGGCCTTGGCGGTCAGGCCCTTGGCCTTGGCCATGGGGCTGGCACGGTGACGGTTCCGATTACATGGGGTGGCGGTACCGGAACCGGAACCGGAACCGTCCCGGAACTGTACCGTGTCCACCCCTACTCAAATATCCCCATCCCTTCCATCACCACTAAAAAAGGAAAGAAAAGTTCAAAAAAAAACATTTGGTATACATTTGGGGTGGTGTACATTTGGGGTACACCTTTGGTGTACCCCTAGCATATCCCTACCGAATACTACCTCCCTCTCCTCTCCTTTTTGTGGAGTATATTTATTTCTACTATATCATTCTTAAATATATATTTTTATTTTTTTAAAAAAATTTGTGAGCAGTCTCATGAAGTGATTTTTTGGGACAGATGGTGATACTTGCATATTTTTAATTTTAAATTTTTAATTGAATTTATATAAAAATTAGTCTAAGATTAAAAAGTAACATTCAAATATTTAAAAAAATATATAAATTTTACTCTCTTTGTCCTAATATAAATCGTTTGTTGTTGCTTAGAGATTCTATTGAAATTATTTTCAATTAATTTTATATAAAAATTAGTGTAAAATTAAAAAAAATAATTTATTTTATTAAAATTTATTTCAGAAGTCTTACAAGAATAAAAGTGACATGACTATATTATTTTATTAAATTAGTTGAGAAAATGGGTAGACGAAGTGCTCAAAAGTTACCATTGTAAATAATAAATATGCAACTTAAATAAGAATATACAAAGTAGAAAATAAAAATAGAAAGAATTTATTATTTTATAAATGAATAAAAAGAAAAAGAGAACAAAGTAATCAACGTAGTAAATTGCAAACTAGAGAATATTTTGGGGGCAAATGGAATATAACCGTGCGAATGACACAATCCATTTTTTGAGGGAAAATGTTAGGATGTCACCACATGGGTGATACCATGGGTGCACTCATGTTTTGCACAGACAAACACAGATGATAATTGTCTGTGTCGTACAGACAATTATCGTCTGTGTTTGTCTGTGCGAAGCATGGGTACATCTATGGTAGCACCCATGTGGTGGCACCCTAGCATGGTCCTTTTTTGAGTGAATCACAATCAAATCAAATTAAAGCCACGCTATAAATCGGAAGTTAACACTAGAGAATAATCAAATGTGAATTTGTAGAGACAACCCATAATCATATGTGATGGAAAGTGGTCTATGAATCATAGACCATTATCATGTGTATAAATTCATAATATGTATATAGGCCCCGTTTGGTATATGACATTCAAACTATGGAATTGGAATTGAAGACTTCAATTCCAATTCTAGTGTTTGGTAGCACAAAAATTATGTGGATTTGGAATTGATAGTGCAAAAAAAATTGGAATTGGTAGAATTTAATTCTATGGAATTGAATCTCATGAAATTTCAATTCCAATTCAATTCCAATTCTATCAATTCCGTATACCAAACGGGCCCATAATTTCTTACACGATTATCACATGTGTATATTGTTGTTTTGACCTTTCCATGTCGGTAAAATTGTCTTTATTTCTCTGTTGCACTTTTGTATGTTTTTCTCACTTTTGAGTGAATATTATTGTTGTTTGTTGTTCCAAGTTGGTGCTTGATGATTGTGTGTACCTCTAATTGATTTAGAGAGGATTCTTGGTTGTACCCACTGATTTTCTTAGTGATTCGGGAAGGCTTCGTGATTTCTTTCTCGATTTGGGGTTTCCACATTGAATCTTAGTGTTCGTTTATCGTTTGATTGATTGTTTGTTGTCGTGTTTACTATTCTTGATCGGTCATATGATTTTGCCCATTTTGAGAACACAAAGATGAGGAAATTATTAATTGCTTCCGCAAGAAAATTTAGGTAATTTCCCAACAATTGGTATCAGAGCTTGAGTCATATTTTTGGGTTATTTTCTTGTGTTGTTAAAATGGAGGGTGGGGGAATGATTAAATTGAACTCCTCCCATTATCAAAGTTGGAAACCCAGGATGGAAGATATTTTATATATTAACGATTTGCATGAACCGACCTTGAATATAGAGATGCCAAATGATAAACGAAAAGGTAATTGGAAATTGCTCAATCGGAAAACTGTGGGAATGATTAGGTGATTCATTGATGATAGTGTGTTTTCGCATGTAGCTAATGGTACCAATGCCTATGAATTGTGGGAGAAACTGTAATGCCCCAAAAATAGGTCTATCAGAATTATTTAATTGATAACTTATTAAATACTAAGAATGATCCAAAAATAAGTGATTTATAAAGTTTGTCAATAAATAATGAAAATTATATCGTTATGTAGAGTTTGATTGTCTGATCTCAATTGTTCAATCGGATTCCAATTCGGAAAAAATTGGATCAAAAAGTGTACCCCGATGGGGACAAAAAATAGTCCCAATCACGGACTTGTGTTTGGAATCAGGAGTATCGGAGCCCTTCCCACTGAGACGCCAAAACAGGAACTATGTACATCACCAATTGGCTTCTTCTCTATTTATTCTCCTATATAAACTACCCTCACTTTCTTCATTCTTCACCAAAACTCAGTAAGTTTAATATCATTCTGTTCTTGAGAGTGTGAGGAGCCCAAGAAGAGGCGGTGTTCCTTGATATCTCTTGGAGAGGAACATCGGGGGACACCCAAAACCCAAGACCTCGGAAGTAAGAATTCTTGGAGAGGAGGGCGCAGGGAACTGGGTGGCCATTCTTGAGAAGAAGGCGGAAGGTCTCCTCAAGGGCCGGAGTGCGAGGAGGAAATGTGTGGGAAGGAAACTTATCTTCCTTCTTCCTCCACACGTTGGGGAAAGGGAAACAGCGGTACCAATCATCGATCTCAGAGGCGATGGAGTACATGTTTTGGCAGTGGGAGCACATGCCCCCAGTCAACTTTTAAAAAATTTTAATTAGTACCCCAAATATTTTTAAAAACCTAATCTTGCCCCCAATAAAAAATATACTTGCCCCCAGTAGTTTACTCAAAGAAACCATACGGAGTATTTTTCAGTCCAGCAACTTCTGTCTTTCTCCTCTTCCGCGTAAACCACAGAGTCCCGCCGGCCGCCGATTCACCATTCATCGCTCACCGGCTTTCCTGTTCGTCTTGAATCTTGATCGCATAATCACAATCCAGCCACAAACGAGTTGAGTAAGAGGCTTTCTCTCTCTTTTTGAAAGTTTGATTCGGACTTTTAGATCCAACTATTCAATTTGTCAAATTTCAAGAATCAGTTGTTCTAAAAAGTAAAAAGTACTGAGTAGTGTGTACTTCATGGGTTTTTACAGGTTTTTAGTGTATTTTTAATATTATTTCTATTTTTTATCATAAATAATACTGTAATAGTATAATGCTTGTATTTTTTTTGCAGATTCTTCTTCACAAATCAGTAATCAGACATCACTCATCATCAATTCTGCAATTCATCATGTCACGTAATATCTAAATCTCTAGTCTTTACTCTAATTGAATTATTTTATTTTTAATTGTAAATGGGAACCCGTAATAAAAATTTATCTCTTTTACTTTGTATAATTTGTTTATTTACTCAGAAAAAGTGATGGAGAATTTCTTAAAAAGAAAGTGCACACCTTTGGTCACACAAGAAAATGNAATATTATTTCTATTTTTTATCATAAATAATACTGTAATAGTATAATGCTTGTATTTTTTTTGCAGATTCTTCTTCACAAATCAGTAATCAGACATCACTCATCATCAATTCTGCAATTCATCATGTCACGTAATATCTAAATCTCTAGTCTTTACTCTAATTGAATTATTTTATTTTTAATTGTAAATGGGAACCCGTAATAAAAATTTATCTCTTTTACTTTGTATAATTTGTTTATTTACTCAGAAAAAGTGATGGAGAATTTCTTAAAAAGAAAGTGCACACCTTTGGTCACACAAGAAAATGAAAGTGGACCTTCTAGTAGAAAAATATCTACTCTTTCTTGTATGTCAAAAGAAGTTGATTTGGATCACTTACCTGTTGATCCTGGAAATAGGCCTAGAATTTCATTTTATCACCCAAATCAAAGGGATGAAATTAGGCGTGCATATAGGCTAAAAGGACTTCATTAACCTCGTGAATATGATTTTCCATCAAAGATTATTTGTAAATATCCTAGAAGATTTAATCCAAATTGGTTTGATCATTTCCAAAGGTGGTTGGAATATAGTATAAATGAGGATAAAGCATATTGCTTATGTTGTTATTTATTTAGAGATCTATTCGGAAAACAGGGTGGAAGTGAGGCATTTGTGACAGAAGGTTTCTCGTGTTGGAATAAAATCGAAAGGTTAGCTTTGCATGTAGGTGATGTCAAAAGTGCACATAACTATGCACTAAAAAGATGTGAAGATTTAGTGAAACAAAAACAATCAATTGAAGTTTCTCTTACTGTGCAGAAATTCACACAAGTGTAATTGTTGGTTCATTATTCAACGACCAACTACATGATGGATTTTGAGGACGTAGAAGGATTACCCCACCTTCAAACCTCGTTAAAGTTTGCGTGTCTCTCTCTTTTATCTTTACTTATACTTGCACTTATATTAACTGTGAAACTAACCCATCCATATTGATTACTGCTCCAATAACCCACCAACTTCCGCACACAATCTAAGTTCACAAGAACTTTAGATTAACACTCATTTACACATTTTCAAAAGAAACGAAAAAGTTTTTAAACTTGTAACAAAGTCTATTCACCCCCCCTCTAGACTTTGTATCTCACCATTTAGGGGACCACCAGGTACGTGAGTTTCACGGCCCAGACAAATATGCAGTTTCTAGAGAGCCCGGTCGACAAGATCGATCAGTGGCGGATCCAGAAATTACAAGTACAGGGGGCGAACTAAAAAAAAAGTTCCAAGTTCTAACCAAATTATAAAGAAGAGATGAAAGT